CACTAAACAATTTTAACATGTCTTTGGAGATTGAGCCAAATGATGCATGGACATTGAGGGAAAGGGGAGCTGTCTATCGACGTCTAAAACAATACGATAATTCACTGAATGATCTTAACAAATCGTTGGCGATCAAACCAAATGATGCATTTGCGTTGGGTACAAGGGGAGCTGTCTATCTTAATCTAAAACAATATGACAATTCACTGAATGATCTTAACAAATCGTTGGAGATTGAACCAGATGATGCATGGGCATTGCGAAATAGGGGACAGGTCTATAAATGTCTAAAACAATATGACAATTCACTAAACAATTTTAACATGTCTTTGGAGATTGAGCCAAATGATGCATGGACATTGAGGGAAAGGGGAGCTGTCTATAAACATCTAAAACAATACGACAATTCACTGAATGATCTTAACAAATCGTTGGCGATCAAACCGAATGATGCATGGGCATTGAGGGAAAGGGGAGCTGTATATCTTAATCTAAACCAATACGATAATTCACTGAATGATCTTAACAAATCGTTGGAGCTTGAGCCAAATGATGCATGGACATTGAGTCTGAAGGCTAACGCTTATGCTTTTTTTGAACAGTATGACGATGCATTGAACGATGTTAAAAAAGCATTGGAAATCGAACAAAATCATGCAACTGCGCTGTCTGTAAGGGGAGGCATCTATAATGATCTCAAACAGTATGATCGTGCATTATGCGATGTCAATAAAGCATTGGAAATTGAACCGGATTATGCGTATGCATTGATTGTACGGGGGCTCATTTATTGTAATCTTGCACTGTACGATAATTCATTGAGTGATCTCAACAAATCATTGGCGATTGAACCAAGTAATAAATATGCATTAAAGAATAGAGGAGAAACATATTGCATGCTCAAACGGTATGACGATGCATTGATTGATCTAAATAAATCGTTGGAAATTGATCCTAATTACGTCGACGCCTTGACCGTTAGGGGAAACGTCTATCTCGATTTAAAACAATACAACAATTCGTTAAGTGATCTCAACAAATCATTAGCGATAAAGTCGCGTAATGCGCGTACATTGAAAATACGGGGTAATGTCTATTTCAATCTCAGAGAATATGATAATGCGTTGACCGATTTCAACAAGTCATTGGAGATTGAACCAGATGACGAGCATGCATTGAGCATGAGAGAAAAGGTTAATGAGATGCTCAAACAGCATGATATATGAGATACTTGAGAGATTGTGACAGCGTCATGTTTAAACTTACTACGACAATAGCTTTGATTACATTTACAAGCGATTGATTTCAAGCTGGCACTGCAAGGTCTAAAAGGCGGTGAAAGTGGAGTTATTGTATTTTATAGTATGAATGTGATTGAGAGTGATAGCAAATTGCGTCAAAACGACAGCGGTTTCAATGACAGTTTATGTGTTGAAAAAAAAAATACATTGCAACATTAGCAAATATAGTGCTCTATCAGTAATTTGCAATAAATTTGATTTTACGATAAAGGTAGCGATTTTATTCTAAATGAATTATGTTTTGTTTTAAACAAGTTCTTGTCACAAGTTTAACTGAATTTCTCATTTTAATTAAATAATCTCTTTATTATAAACCTTGATTAGTAGTTATAAGCTGCTTGTAGTTGTAGAAGTTGCAGTACTTCTAAAACTTATAATACACATTAACAGATGGACCGATTATTTATTGCGCCACCACAGCAAAAATTATTTAAATAGCACGTCATTTTGAAGCGCGTAAGTTTATAAACATAAAATTTATTAGTTATGTTGTACGGATGTTCAATATAGAATTCAAAAAAAAGTAAAACAAAAACCGTAGTATATCAAAGTTACTAAAATAAATAATTTGCTTCAAATTGAACATAAAGAATATATGAAACACAACAAAAATGAGAATATAACGACTGTTTTTATTTTTTGTTTTCGAAATTTAGAATAACAACAGTAATTAATAGAAAACTAAAACAAACAAATTAGTTCGATTCAAAGTGAATATTGTTAACAAAAATTAAAGCATTGGGAAGAGTAAATGAACGTACATGTATATGACCGCACTTCTCTACAGTTACATGTTTTACGGAACCAATCAATTATACATATGTTGAAAAGACAGTTCTACAATCTTAGTCATCAGACCGACGGTGCGACTGTAGAGGGAAACGTGACTTTACACTATTTAATAATATTAAATAAACTTGCAGAAATTTTATAATCCACAGTAATTAGCAGACGTTATTAAAAAGCTTAATAGTTAAGCTCAGTTATCGTTCAATTGTAGAGTAGGTTTTAATTTAGCCGAGAAACAATAAGACTTATAAGTATTGTATTTAAAGTTATGAACTGCATACCTAAGTTATCGATACCAAAATCTGACAACCATTTCCAAAGCGTAGAAAGTTAGGAATCTTAATTTTAATTTGGTTGTGTTTCAATTACGTGTATTTGCAATAAAATGGTTTCTTATTTAGAAACGGGAGGCAATCATTTCATCGACAATCATTTCACCAACAAATATTCACCAACATTATTTTGAAGTTATCCTTTTTTGGCAGTTAATTGGCGGTGAAATGTACTGTCGGTGAAATGATTGTCGATGAAATAATACGGACCCTTTAGAAACTGCATATAATGTAATATGAGCAAAATTAAATATACATAGCGCATTACGTATTCATGCTATAATTGACATGTTTTAATGCCATACTGTTTACATATCCTAACTAAACAAACATCTGTCAGGCAAAAATTATTTTTTAGGAAAATGTTTCTAAAATTACTGACTGGCCTAGTAACAGTTCTGACCTCAACCTGCTGAAAATCTCTGGAGATAAAACTCAAAACTGTGGTCAATTGGAGCATTTTGCCGGTCGGGGAAGAAAATGGCATTATTGATAATATCTTAAGAACTTAGTGAAGTCGATGTAAAAGTCAGGGTAAGCAATCATTGAAATAAATATTTTAATTAATATTAATAAAATCTACAATTTTCTGGCTATCTTCCATTTGCTAAGTGTAATGATTGCGCTATACTGAAAAATATCAATTTAGCAAAACCTTTCACACTGTACCACGTTTAAAAAGATCTTAGTACAGTCGTACCCCTCTATAGTCACGCTGTCGGGAACAATGCAACTTTTTCTGGAAGTGTGCTTATAAAGAGGTTGTGACTATATAAAGGGTTTTTTCTATAAGTTTAATAGTAATTGGTTCTCAACATGGTGTGCTTATAAAGAGGGTTTTTATATGTGTGCTTATAGAGGGGGTGACTATAGAGGGGGTGACTATAGAGGGGTACGACTGTATCCTAAATATTTAGAGTCTATAGAGCGGTTCATATATTACTTCATAATAAAGCATAATACATAGGCGCATTTGATCAAATTTAATCTTGTACTTGTATTTTTTGTCATTAAATTCTAATATTCTACGCAATACACGTTGATAATTAATTTGTAAATAGTTTATGCAATCTTTATTTCTACAAAAAACCAAACAGACAGATAAAATAATAACTGTCACACAGTTTACAACACATTGTATTCTACAAAACTTACTTTAAAATCAACACAAAAACGATGGTTATGTCAATGAGTCCAGCCCAATGACTATACAACTATAGTTATGACTGCACGCTACCACTATCCAAACAAGATGAAACGTCACACGAATTTCCAAACATAATCACCCACCACAACGAATTATTGCTAATCACACCAAAAAAGATGAAAAAAGCTCCAACTGCCACTCCACAAGTACATACCCAAAGATAAACGGGACTGGCATCCACTCCTGGTGGGGGGTGGTTGAACAGATAGTAATATACAAAGCATAGAATGCTGTTGAAACTCCAAATAGCCGCCACCACAGCTAGTCCTATTGAGCGGCACCCGAATCCTACTGGCTTTGTATAATAGGTGAGAACCACAACCATCCAATGGACGACGATGCTTATCAGCAATGTAGCCAAAACTTTTCCTCTAATATCTCGGGTTTTATCTTCGGCAAGGCGTTCTAAATAAATATTTCCCTCTACTAATTTTAATGCTTCTCTGGGATCTCTGACTACTACTTTTCCTTTCAAGACCCTCAGCACTAATATGGGCAACGTCCAGGTTAATAACAATGGTATAGCCGGCCAGTCTTGTTGTTGGCATGGTCCCACAACTCTGTATATTCCGATAATGATACCGACAAAGATAAAGTAGCCTGATACAAAACACGCAAATCGATCCAGAAAAGATACGTTTGTCACACATTCCATGAGGCGTGTTTTAATGTTGGGAACATTAGTAAAGTCAAGACCTTTAATCTTATATCCAAATGGCCAGATATTCACAATGTTATTTTCCGGACGATTTGGAACACGGAATTGAAATTTATCCTTTGGCAGCCAGTATGCGCAACTGTCTGGGATTACTTCGCCGCCTTCACCTACACCAGTTTTAATGTGGAGGAAGTAAAACAAGGGCGTGAATGGACAACCGAGGCACACTAATATGTGCAGAATTTTCGAGGTAAGAGTTGAAAAAGGTGCATCTCCGACAACAAAGAGAGCTGGAATGACTCCGAGAAAATAGAGGGAAACGGGATTTTGCAATATGGTGGTTATGTCTGTCATTACGTAATTTTAGGAAAGGGGTAAGATAAAAAAGAATTGGTTTTTATCGAGTTGAAAGGGTTGGTATTTCCAATTGAATTGTCAGTTACAGTTGTCGTGAGGGTGTATATCGAACCAGCTAGGATTCGAATGGATATGATATAAGAGAATGGTTTTGTAAGAGGGAATTGGAGTTTCTAGTTGACAATGTCTAAGTCAAAACCGTCAGCTATGGTCTTATATATTGTCGTGAGGGTTATATCGAACCAGTAAGAATTCAGAATGTACTAGCCTGAAAATGACATAATGCGTTTTACAAGAAATATGGTAAGCGTGATTTAGTTTCTTACTATTTTTAGCTTAAGCATAAATGACTCGACGTAAATAGTTGTTTTCAATCTGGCCGCAGCATTTCGTGTACCAATAATAGCAGCACAGCAGCTATAAATATAGTCGCAAGCAGAAAATCACTCGACAATAGCGTGTGTATTCTTATGCACAATTGAAACACGTGTTACCTTATTAAATAAACATGAACAGAAAACTTGTCTAAGTCAAATTCGCTACAGCGTGGGAAAGATGAGACAGTTTTAGTCTAACCAATTTCTTAATGTAGGGCTTAATTTTATACATTATTAGGCATGGTACAAATCTTATGACAATGTGTCATTACTCACAGTTAGAATTTCGACAAGATTACTAAATGCAGTTTGCACTAATTAATAAGTAGTAATGGTGAATGATAATTGATGTTATTATATCGCGGCTACCTCCAGCTATTAATATAGTTATTAAATTATATATTATTTGGTTTGTGAATTATAAATGCTATGTAGAAGAGTTCACACAAAATAGTGACAAAACATTGTTTAATGGGTATACGTTTAATTGTAGTGTGTTATTGAAGCTAAATGAGAAATGTTACCGTCGGTAACTTTCAATTGATGAATAACATTATAGCTATTGCTTAATATTAAAGTTGTCGCGCTACTTGGCAATGACTCATCGAATAAGCGTTTCATAGTTTAAGAGATAGTAACACTGACTAAACAAGAGGTTTCTGTGTTATATTCTCTTTTTTATTCCTTATACGTTCAACAGCGACTACTTGAAATGAGTTTCGGAGTTTAGAAACAATTTTTATCCAATTTACATTGAGTCAGAAGAAAAAAATTAAAGTTTGGTTCACTGTGTCATGATTGTAGTTCCAACAGATTTTATTTTTAACAAATAATTAAAATCTCTCTCTCTACCGTTTTTTGATAACAAGCCCGCAACAACGTCTCATTGAGCTCACGCAATTGTTATAACGGTGTCTGGAATACTCCATCATAAATTATTGAATTTATGGGCATCCGTTGGATGGCCGCATTGTCCATGACTTTGGACCGTATTCTCGTTAAGCAAGGCTTTAGTATTAGCAAAGTAACTTGTATGCTTGAACTGGTGTCTTGCACTGAAACTTCCATTTACCCAACCTTTCCATCGATTCTGGAAAATGTTACTAAAGACTTTCACACAAAATTTGGCGTTCGAAAGCAAAGACGTACAGGGATGATGCAAAAAAATTAAATTGTTCATTTCTGCACTCGAGTGCGTATATATCATTTGACCAAGTTTGAAACATGTAGTTTTCATTTATGCATTACTAGAGAATTCACTAGCTCACGTGACTAATAGAGAGTTTCTGAAATGGAATTCTATTCCCCCGTCGTATGTATTTACCACACATTTGTTTGTTTGGGCTCATTATTATTACGAGATGAGAAAGTTAACAAGCAACGTAAACGTGTGAATATGACACACAACACGATGTAAATTGGAACCCCTGTATACAATTTCCGGTTTTTTTTGACACACTTCCCCGTGTCACCGAGTTCCACACCCATTGCATCATCGACCACTTTTGTGCATGAATCAAAGATGTTACACCGTCTTGCCTTGCTATCCCATTGTTCATATCATTACTCAATATGAGCCGTCCCCATTCTCTCACCGCGAAATCTCAATTGTCTCTCTTACCATTACCGCAATTCTTCTTCACATAGCCAGTTTCATTATTGTTTCAATGATGTACACATTCATGATATATCAGTGCATAAATTCTGGATGGCCATTGGACGGCTGACAATATGCATACCATGCCAAGACCTGTGCTGTGGCGCAACACTTAATCTTACTTCTTCTTCTTCTTGAAACATATCATCGCAAAAAGGCAGATGTCGTCGTTTTTCAAATCTTTGGTATCGACCATTAAGGGCCTAATAATTAATGAGAACATTGCCGAAAGTTCACCATTTAGCCGACTAATAGAGTCCTCTCACATTCATGATGATGGAGATTTGGTAACGGGACATCATCCTCTTCAATGGATCTCGTATGCAGACTTTTCACATATAAAGCCAATCAAATCTTCTAAATATCGGACTGCCTACAATCGGTATTCGATATTTATTGGAACAGATGATGAATGCACGCAAGAGTCTGTCAAGGAATTTGCCAAAATATACTCACTTCCAACACACAAACACATATCCAACATTAATCAATTCAAAAGACATTCCAAATGGCTCGACAGACGCAACAGGCTAATACTAGGATTCACCAAAGATAGCAATAACTACTACATGATAGCCGATAGACGGTTTCGCCATTGTTATTCTCTATACGGGTTTTGCTCCATGTGTGGAGTACTCAGATGTAGCCCTATATGGTGTATTTGCGGACACAAAGAATTATCAAACGGCTGGACTAGCCACAATCATAAACTTGACCAGTTTATTAAAAAGTCACAAGGACAAACGAAATCTGCGAACGAAGCCTACTTGGAATGGATTCCATTCGATTGTATCGAGATTGGTGCTGAGACTGTAAGACTACACGGTCTACCGGCTTATGCGGATGTGAAATTGATTCCACTCGAGATATCCGATAAAACTGATGAGTCATACTATCAAAAGGTACAATATATGTTTGTTGAACTACTGCCAACTAGATGAAATCATAGACTTGCGTACGGCGAATACTCACCCCCCCCCCCTTTTTTTTTTTCTTCTTCTAGTTATGTATTGATCATCCTGATATACCCGAGTCGAATGTTTGGGTTTCTATTGGATTTACATATAATGCAGAAGAGCAGACGTATTATCTGATTAAAAGTAAAGATACCGAAGAATCTTATTGCGAACTATGTCTGGGATGTACGAATAAGCTTATATTGAGTGCATTCTGTTTCAGATGCAAAGCACCGCGCCCCCTTGATTGGACTACGGGCAACAAGTCTCTGGACTTGTTCATCAAGAAATCGTGGAGTAACATGGCACATATTGCTAGCGGACATATACAGTGGATAGAATACTCGCAGTTAACGAATCTACAAGAGGCGGTGTCGTTAGACCACGGCTGTACGCATGTAGCAGATTGGTTACAACAGGCGACGAACGGAAACAAGATGACAGCAGTGATATTAAAAAAGATAGCAGATGGGCGGAAAGCTCAGTCGTTTGATTTTTATCAGGTAAGCATGTTGGTATCGAGTATCTTTTTTTCTTTTTTTTTTTCGTAATGTTCGGCTATCAATCTTGTCCCTAACACTTGTCTTGCTTGAATTAGCTAGTGAAAGCCCACCCAAAGATAATAACTCCAGATAATATTTGGATTATCGGCATAACTCAAGAAACATCCACGCGAGACTATTATTTGGTATTCTATCGCGACATGGATCCGATTTTGGAACAAGTGCTTCGAATCAAGAATTCTGACGAAGATAGTAAAGCGAGGAGGCTGAAATCTATCCAATTTGAAGATTTTTGTAATATCGAAGAGATTGGTTCTGGTGGTTATGGAACAGTCTATGCTGCCGAATGTAGCGGGCTCAATAAAAAACGAGTTGCTTTAAAGTGGTTTAAAGACTCTGAACACTTGCTAGAAATGTTAAGATTTGAGGTAAAGCCAGCGCAGCGCGCTCTCGATATTATTGTGCGTAACTGAATTAAGAGTAATATTTTAATCTGATTATTTATTATATTTCAGCCTAGTAATTTTACCGGGATTCCGTACTTTGTACTTAGAGTATATGGAATTACACAACGACCAGAGACAAAAGAGTATCTGATCGTAATGCAACACGCCGATTGTGGTAATCTTTATTTTTATTTGGAGCGAAACTTTAATTCGCTGACATGGGGCACGAAAGTAAAGATTTTGGATGACCTTGCCGAGCACTTGTCGGCCATCCATAGTAACGACTTAGTCCATAGTAATCTTCATGGTGGGAACATTGTCTTTGGTGGCTCGGAATATTCATATTTTGCAAACGTGAACAAGCCATTTTTATGTGATATCGGACTCGCCAAATCGTCGAGTTCATCCAAAGTGAACCCGTCAACCATTCAGGGTGTTTTACCATACGTTGCACCAGAAGTCTTTCATACTTTTGAATTCACTCAGAAATCAGACATCTATTCTTTTGGTATTCTAATGTATCAGATTGCTAGTGGCGAGCCGCCTTTCAGAGATAGAACGTTCGATAGAGATTTGGTAGGCGACATAGTGGGGGGACTGCGACCGACGATGCCTGATGAGGCACCAGAGTCGTACAAGAAGCTTGCTAAGCGGTGTTGTGATTCTAATCCTAACAAGCGCCCCGACGCCGAGATGATTGAATTGTATCATGAAGATGTAGCTTGGTTGAACACTATATATCGCAATGAGAACATAGAGCCCATGTCACCTAGTGAGAAAGAATCCAAATATTCTAGCAAATTACTACCTATTGATGAGGATAATTCGGCTGCAGGTATTAAAGCAGTGAATTGATTCGAATGTGTTTAGTATAAAATTAGAGTTGAAATATTGATACTCTTTTATCAATTGTAGACGGATTTATGACTTATAGTGTATTGTACATGTAATATTTAATTAATGCTCGTAGTAGTACAGTAATGTATTATCTGTAAGAACGGTGATACGTCATCAATAATAATAATAATAATAATAATAATAAATGTAATGTTTATTTACGGCGATGTTCCCACACAATCTAATAAAGAGAGAAGACTAGCTGCAGTACTGCAGATCACAAATTTAGTGTGTTATTTAATATTAAGCTCACATATCTGGTAACACCATAAAGGAATCATAAAGACGTGTCAATTTTAAACACTGAAAACCCGCTTTTGCGCCTGTTTTGTCTTCATTCTATACTCTTTTTTTACTTTATGTATTTCGTTTGGTGTACATATAAGAATAATCTATACTACATATTAATAATAAATAATGTAATTATTGTATATAAACAAAATGTATAAACCCGTAAAACGACAGTTTAACACCTCTATCATACATTCAGGCCATTAACAAACAACACAGTAACTTCTGCCTCGTCACGCTCTCTCAACTCTCTTATCATTAATTCTCTCCACACACAATCCTCAGTTATCAGAATAACCTCGTTATTCAATATTCCCTTTAGCACTGCAAAATCCTTGTCGACTCCAACTTCGCGTCCTTTCTTCTTTCTATACGCGATTAGAAATTGATCCTTGCATCCCGCAACCAATTCGCTCAGTAATTGCTTGAAATCCGAGTATCGACAGTGCCGAGAGATGGATAGCGTTACAGTGCGAGGATAAGAGTAGATATGAATCCGAAGCGAGATGAATGGCGAATACGCGAGCGTGGTATAATTGAGCGAGGAAAATGATGATGACACCGTCGATGCGTTTGAGAGTCGATGTAGCTCGGTACATGATTTTGAGCGTATTTTTTTGGGGCGCAAGAGAGGTGCAATGAGTTTAGAATAGACAATTCGGATGTACTTCATGTTTTTTTGATTTTGAACAAATCGATGATATTAACAGGCAGTCGAATCGAACAGCGATCTTTTTTATAAGTTTAGTATGACTCACATGATCTTTTCCACAAAGACAGGAGACAAAGGCTAGACAGCTCTCGCGGCAATCAGTTAATGTTCTTAGCATTTGTTTGTACGATTTATTAATACATTGATTGCATTAGAATGTGTGCGCAGTATAGGCTAGAATATATTCTTTCCGATTACATTAGAACGCGTGTATTGTGTTATAAACTCGGACAATCAAATACTTTGGTTATGAAATGTCAAATGTCATTGGTGGACATTATATAAGTATTTACAACAATACATGTGAGTATGTTAATAACATGCTTATGCATTTCGAAACAATTAACTCTTTTGTCTTTATGCAATGTTTGATAATAAGCTACGAAATTGCGTGCTAATGCCAATTTTAAAACGCAGCACAAAAGAGATCGGATCCTTCAATGACTATGGATGTCTTCTTTATTCATAATCACGTAGACAATGAAACTGACTAGAGAATGATATGGACTAGACTTGCAGAAAGTATGGCCGCGAAGCGCTTTTAATTCACCGATTTACAAACCTAGCGGCACTTACTATGTTTATGCAACGAACATTGCCTTGCATTCAAGTGAAATCACCAGATCTGCCTTAAAGTTCTCAGCGCGTCTGCTTGTTATTTTGTATGACATATTAAGTTTTATTTGACACGTCCAACTCACAGCACATTAAACATATATGGCAAAAGTGACGCTGAAGTGAAAAAGAGAATGACTTGATTTATTATGAGTAGCACAAATGTACAAAGCTTTTGACGTTATGGAGTGTTCATATACACTATCGTTATATCCGAGTTTCTCTCTTCTTAGTATGAAGAAAATCCTTTTCTATGATTTAGACTTTCAAATTAAATCTAATATTAAACTTACAGTATTATATCACCCCTGCGCCTTCCTACTTATTTGACCGTCGTTTTTTGGTGGCTTTCCCATTATTTTTATTAGTTGCTGTTTCTTCTGCCTAGGAATGTTTTGACGAGAAAGAGAGAGAAGCGAACATACATATTCGAGTACAAACAATCACAGAATGATCAATTGTCAGATATATTGTAGCCAGCCACTGTAGATCAATACTCTTCTCATACCTTTCGCTTTTTAGGTGTATCTTTGGTGGGAGCGGCAGTAAAGAAACTGTCCAAGCGCACTTGCGTTGCAGCTTTAATGTTCTTCATTATTTTATCCACTCCCTTACGGACACGCTCTTCGCTGGAAAATACAAGTTGTGTCAGAGGAACCTGTGCCACAGCGTTGATAGAGCATCTTTTGGCCCACTATACCTGAATGCCTTTTCACGCACAAGAAAATCAACAACAGCTTCTACGTCTGGAGTATTCCATTTTATCTATTGAGATTATGGAATTGGACGTAGTTTGAAGCATGAAATTTAGTTTGATAACCATACAGGTATTGTTCGTTACTCCCCTCTCCTGCTCCATCCCCCACTCCACCTCTCTATCCGAAATACATACATCAACGGTGTTTGGATCGACCACATCCGGATTACGAAACAGCTCTCGTGCTTCTTTGTAATGCCAATCTTCAGGAATGGGATATTTCTTAGGGTCGAGTTCTTTAATAATCGTTTCGAGATTTCTGTGTTTCTTAATCAACTCGTAAGCACGGTGTGGTCCAATGCCTTTAATTGAATCACAATAATCACACCCGAGTAGAATACAGAGGTCTATAAACTATATAAACAGAGGAAAAGAAATTAACGTCGCACGGCAGTTGAAACAAATAAACAATTGACGATTCCAGCGCTACCTCCACAGGCAAAAACTATTCCATTGAATACTTTTTTGAACGCATCATCACTTACTTCGTCTATATTCAGTTCCAGCCCTTCTAGTGCTTTATCAAGATGTATCTCATCAATCGGCATCTTTCTACTCTCGGTAAATGTTAAATGACGAAGAAGCATTGGGGCATTAAATGTGAGAGTGTCCATATCTTCTGATGCAGCTGCATAGACCTATGGGAATACAATATCAGGGCAGTGAGATGAGTATGGTTACTGGAAAAGACGTTTATAACATGATGCAAGTTAACTACTGCTGACCTTTCCCGCTCGTGCAAGAGCAGCACATTGAGCTTCTGCTTCACAAGGAGCCTGTAGAATAGTGCAATGTCGCGGTGACTCTTTGTAGGCGAACGGTAACAAGTCAACAAAACAGAATTCATACATCAATATATGGAATTCCCATAAGCTTCAATAGTTTTTTACACTCTGCGTTATGTTCTGGGGTCACTTTCACCGTGCGTCTGCTGTATTTATCAATGTCAGCCACTGCGCCTGGGTTATGGTAGGTAAAAATGTCAGTCAGACATGAATCTCGAGAGGATTTCCTTTCTAATACCGTCAGCCATGTTTATAACATTTCTAACCAGTCTCGTGAGCTTCTTCAAGATTCTTGTTTGCTTCCTTTCTTCGTTCCAATCTCTTGGCAAGCTATGTACGCACGTACCCAAACAGCAATCAACGATGATGTAATCTAAATTACGAAACGAAACCACCCCCCTCTTCCTTCCCGATCACATGCCCCCATTCACATGCCCCCATTCACCTCGCCCGATTTCAGCATTGGCGGCTTTCCATCAAACACATATACGGGTTTAATTCCGTTCTCAACCATTCGAATCGTGCGATAGAACATTCCCATCAAATGACTACAAGATAAAAGTATATTTAGGAAGCTCACGTCAAGCTCGACACTTGAATTTCATAGCCTGTTTCCTTTCTTTCAAATCGCTTTTAATTACTACACCCACACACCCGCAAATCTCCATTGAAATCTCACCTCGTCGTCTCTCCAGTGTCACTTGTCAACTGTTGCCCGTCTGCCTGTCTCACGGCTATCAAAAACTGGTATATCGACATTGATGCATCGATAGCCACTTTTCTACCAAAATAGCTCTTGATTTCATTTGCGCTGATAGCCTTTGCCGCGTGATCTGCGATTACTTTGTGAAGGTTGTGAATGCCCATGGCGAAAAACGATGAATTAAAACGCGTAAGGATGGGAAATTGACTACGGGGTCAGGTATTTAGCTTTCTGATTTAGGTAAGATGTGTTTATGATGATCGACATAAAGATCGCCATGGGTATTGTTCACACACATCACGTTACCATTCTCTCACAAATACATAATGAAGTAGACAATGCCTGACATAACAGACCATTTCCCATAGGAATGGGAAATGGTTACGGCTTTTATGGATATCCATCAAATAACACGGATTTTACTATTCTCTCATTTTATTAGCCACATACTAAGCAGACATGGTGCGAATTTATTTTTTAAACTTCATTATCAGATATTCTGGCGTGAGCCCAAAACTATTATGTAATAGCTCACATAAAAACTTTAATCTCAAGTTCACAATACAACAAACAAAAAGTGTTCTGGGTAATAATAATAATCATTACACTATAATTCGGCCTAGATCATCACATCATTACGACTACCACAACCGCAAGAACAAACAAAACTTTTGAACAGATCTTCACACCAACTGCTTCCGAACCACTTGGCTTATTATTTCCAGAACCAGCATCGGTACCGCTTGTAGTATTGGTAGAGTTGTTAGTTGGTGATGGAGGAGGAGGAGGCGGCGTATATACTGATTCTGAAAAGATAACACGTATTGTGTCAGTTGGTTGTTTTGCGTTTCTGTCACCAGAAGAAAACTTGTTTGTAATACTTACTGACAGAGCCACTTGGTCTGATTTCAAACGCTTCCGACACAGCATAGATATCATTGATATCGAAAATGTTGGTACAAATGAGATGGTAACCTAATGGTAGAATCAAGTGTTATTAAACGCAATCTTGTAAAATCATAAACGTCAAGACTACACGTACCGGGAATGACGCCTCTGGTTACAAAATCAGGGACATCCAACGAAACGTTTTTGTTTGCACTTATTGCATTATTGATCAAGGCATATTGTTTCAAATCAGAAACATTCTAGAAAAAAAGAAAAAGAAACATCAACTGTTGTGATCGTAGTTAATATTTCCAACTGTCATTTTGCTTACGGAATTAGTCAAGAAGATGGAAAAGCGAGTGGGGTCATTAGTTGGATCAGTCAAATTCCATAGCATAGTCGCTGTAGTATTAGACACCAGCCAATACGATTCCGAGGGGTATAAAATTTTGATTTCGGCTAAAAGGAAAACAGTGTAATATGATATTAACGTGTGTGATATGAACATGTCTGTGTGTCAAACAATAAACCGACGCTTAAAATCTGTATCCGAGTCAGAGTTATTGTACCTGTTGCAAGTAAAAATAGACAAGCAAAGGCGAGAAGAATTATTTTGTGTTTCATCTTGAGAGCTGTTGTTGTTGTTGTTGTGTATAGCAAATCGTGGGGGAAAAGCAATGCATTTTATACAATATTTCTCTTGCGTTCGCAAGCATTATGTAGGACACAAATAGAAAGTATTAATATTGCGTTATTCCTAATTTATTGATGTCCATTTCATACTCTCACTGATTTTGGTGTTCGTTATTAATAGATCAAATCTATTCCATAAAGAGTAAACAGAAAAAAATAGCGCGATTCAGGCAATATATCCATATAAACATGCATACAGTCAAAGGTGCGACTCTCTCACCTCGTTACGAGGGTATGCTTTCTGCTACCAAGCTTTACAATCCAAAGTGAAAGAAAAAATATAGTAATCTTTTCTCTTTCAATATGATCAATCGTATATTACTACAAAGATAGCGTGGTTTCAAAATCTTACCCGAATAATATTGCTTTTTCTTCCAAGAAACTAACACGATAGTAAATATAGACGGGTTGTTATCATATTATATTTGGTTAATATTAACCAATAATTAGTTAGTCGCCTGTACTTGAACCCTTTTTCGATTAACTTTTTCGAGCATACAATATATGCGTGTATATATGCGCTACATTTACTTGCTATTCCCATGAATTTTTTAATTAGTAAATAACAGCTTGCAAAGAAATCATGTTGGAACGAGAAAGAACAAGTGTTTAGACTTATTATTTAAGACGTTTACTATGACATTTAGAAATAAACTTGTTGTTAATTTGCAAAGGCGTTTGATATTTAGCTGATAATGAGCTACTATCCGTTTAGCAACTGACTTGTTTATCGCTTACAGTCAATTTAGGGTGTCTACAATTTAAGTTTTGATTTATAATAGATTTCTCCTTTAGAATCACATATTTTAACTTGACTGTTGGCAACTTACTACCTTATTAATTAAGAGCGTGCGAGTTAATTTTATCTACAGTTGCAGCTATCTTGTTATAGTTGTTGCTGAAAGCTATACTTTTTGAAATTAGCAAGTTTTCAAAGTTATGTTTTGTTGAATTAAAATTAAGTTCTAATTGGTTTAACGTTGCGTAGTTATTAGAATGGTTAGGCCATTAATTAACAGTTATGCTTAATATATTGCCATTACTATTCGTGTACTTGTGCACACTTTATCCAGGTGATGAAAGCGGTTACTTGTATTAGTAGATAGTGTAACTGATACATTTATTTTTCAGTATACAGTATCAAATTTTGTCCTTCCAGCAACAATACAAAAACCAAAGCAAAATAATATTCGGTCATGCAATATAAACAAAATAATTTTATAAATTTATCTTTATATTAAACGTTGTGTTCAGGCTTTTTTAGTAAGATGTTCGGAAATAATTTAGTCAAAGTGAGATGGTTGTTTTATGAGCAATCTGGAAATTAATTAGTGTGACTATTTAATAATCGTAAGACGGTATCACGTGGATTTTTGAATAGAGAGCAATAATGCTAATCATGGAAACCAATCAAAATTAATCGCCTTTGCTAGCACGGACAATCAATCAACAAACACTAAAGTGTGCAACGAGCAAACTCGCCAAGCACTACCAACGGTGTGTATTTATCCTTGGATTGCGATCAGCGTACGTACGTCAAGTTGCGGCAAGGGTAAAACAGATTTCCGAATATGGTGTATATCATTATGGTAAGTATGCATTGTGTAATAAATAGTTGACGTTTATTGTACCTTCACATAAACTGCCAAGTGTAATGTTATTCTGCTTAGAAATTTATAGCCTCACCCGTATAATTAACGCAATTTTGCCAAGCATTTCCTGGCGCTTGATACCTTGATCATCAATTTTACTAATATATCGTGTGAAATTTATTCAAACTTTGATTTCATTAGATATTATTAAAACCTACAACTCTAATGCTAATAATATATTGATTACAATAGGTTATTGTTCATTTTAAATGGCCATCATCGCAGCTACAACCGCAACGGCAAAGAAGGCACTCAAATACATTCTTGCGCTAACAATTTCTGAACCACTTGGCTTGCCAGTGCTGGAGCTGTTTCCACCGCTGGTAGAGGGGGGTGTAGGAGGTGCGTATGTCGATGCTAGTTACAGAAAGAAATGAGTATGGTAAGTCATAATACGTGAGCGTTTACAATGTATTCGTCAATATACTCACGTGGGCTGCCACTCGCTTTCACATCGAATGTCTCTGATGTAGCATAAACGTCAGTGATGTTGCCAATATTCGTAAAGATAATTGAATACCCTATAAGCAGAAATCAAAAACATGCATTTAGTAAACAGAATGGCTCAACGTAAATAAACCATGTTATAGACCATACGTACCTTGCTGTACGCCGGCTTTAGTTAAATCTGGTACAGCAATTGAAACATTATGGTTTAAGGTTATTGCATTGTTGGCTAAGGCGTATTGTTTCAAATCAGGAACGTTCTGTCAATTGAGAACATTTAGTCAATGTTGAGCATGAATTGTAAGATTTGCAAATCACAACAGCCATTCAAACTTGAACTTACAGGATTAATCAAGAATATAGAGAAGCGTTGAGGGTCGCTCGGGTCAGTCGAATTCCATAGTATGGTTGCTGTACTATTTGCTACTAACCAGTAATCTTTTGATGGATATAGAATATCGATTTTGGCTAAAGTGATAGTTAAATAGACGGTATTTTAGTTAAACGAAAGAGTAGAAAGACAATTGGCAGCTCAAGTAGAGAAAGGTTATCGTACCAGTTGCAAGTAAAGCCAGACAAACGAATGCGAAAAAGGTTGGTATTGTGTACTTCATCTTAAAGAGAGGGGGGTCAATGTCTACAAAGAATATTGGAGAAGCGGCAGATTATATATATAGTTTGACCAGGCCACATGCATAATGTATCGTAGCGTGGGGCAAGCCAGAAATAGAAGGTAACCATTACTTGTGTTACTTTCAATTCTTCGTAATTAATTATTTAAAATCGTTCCGGTTCCTATTATTCACCTGATTTTGATTCTATTTATATTTGATATTAATAGGCAGTACTAGTCCGCATATATGTGATTGAATGCAGTAGAACACAAATTGCTTACTTTGTCTTTCACCTATCCCGCCTGCAGAACAATTTTCTACTGGTAACAAGACAAGACTATATTGTAACACGATTAGTCATTGGATTAACGAAATTTGTATTACGATATACAGTTAAAAAAAATTAGACTTTGGAATTGTTGTACGATCAAAAGCATGTGACCAATCTGCAAGAATGGGAGGGGAGAGAGAGCAAACCCCTCACAAAGACTGCATAGTGCGTTGTCAGCATAAAGGTAACTAACAAACTATTGGAAATATATAATATGCATGATTGCGTATAGAAGATCTCCATGTGCAATCATGAGTTTTAAGAATGATATCATCGCAATTACCAATATGGCATTCCTCCACAGAAAAGTGTGGCTTATAGAAAACAAGAACCCGAAGGAAGACATCTCCTGATCATACAGTTTCTATATATAGTATAAAAAAAATCTGGTGATCAATTTCGCCAATGTCTGTGTGATTTGCTTAAAAATAGACAGGTTTCGGCTTATACTTCTTATTTATCTCTAATGCGTTTCCATAAATGTCTAGTCGAACTATAAAACGATACTCCATGCTCGTGCCCTTTGAACAGCCCACATGTTTTACGTAGATTATCAACGCCCCCGATGGAATAAATTTCCATAGACGTTCTCCACACTCTGCTGATTAAAACGGCATGTTGCTCTTTTCTACAGAGCGATTTAGAAATTTTACTCATTATTGCACTTGTTATACGAACACTCATCGATTGTGTTTCAAAGTACGCTGATTTTAAATATGTCGCAATTTTTTATTAAGGCATTTCTTGCGGAGATATATAATCCTTTTGTATCGGTAAATAGTAACACATACATCGTATGAATCTAGAGAAGTGCAGTATCTCGCCTAAGAGAATTCTCCACTCTTTTATTCCGTCCTTTAGCTATTATACACGTATATCAAAGTGGAAGCTTATACCCGGTTGCTCGAGAACCTAAATTAAAAATATGTGCGATATATCAATTATTCTCTGATCTACGCCACGCAAATACGTATGCATTGACCGGATAATATATCCATAAGCAGATGGATATATTATCATCTTAAAGAAAATAATCCGATTACGGCCAAGCCGTAAGGCTTACAAATACCTTTTTAATGTAGCATAACATGTGTAACTTTCTTTATGAACGCCACGACAAGTCTCTGATGACGTCCCTTGCGAATCTTCTTACAACAGAATATGAAATGCTACTTTTTTTGGCCCGTCCGGTACTAACAATAACAAAGAGATGGGTAAACTGTCAAGAACCAATAAAGAACGTTCACAGTAGGCCATCCATCGTACGTCAGGGCTGGATACCTGGTAATTTCGCAAGCTGTGGCCACGATGCGCTTTCAATTCATTCAATTCAATGGTCATCATAGTCCGAGATAAGCTACAGCAAGCAGCGTTTCGGTGACGGATATCAACAAGTAAATCATTTAAATCAGGAACCACATAGTATTTCAAGCGTATCCTATTCACCACAAAGCTCGAACATCCACAGCCTTTTTTTCGGTACGGGCTTTGATTAATTTTACGCTTCATGTGCTTTCAAAACCTAATTTACACCTAGCGGCAAAGTACAATACTAAGTAATTACTTGAAGATAAATATGTGGTCCGATGTGATTTCGACTAATACGATTTTCACCTAGCGGCAGCGTACCTTCGGATACACCACTCCAACAGATACCCAATAAGAATTCTTACCTCTCACGGGAATATACCTCCACGTCTTAATTTCGTCTTGCTACGTACGGCACTTCTTTTAAATGAATGGTCTTTTTCAGGTTGTTAGTTTCCTCGGTCTTGACGTCAGTAATTGTTTGGGTAAACGGTCTCGTTCGGTATTAATTTTTTCACCGTGTCTTGCGCGAAAAATACCCTCGCGACGAAGAACTAAAAAAAAATGGGAAAACCATTATTGAGAAGAAAAGTTTATTAATGTGCCTAAAAAAACAGCCAAAGTTGTTTCTTACCTTCGAAAGAGGTTAGAGCGTGACGGACGCTACCTTAGATCGATGATGGCTGGTGCGTAATATAAAAATCACCATACAGGAATATTTACAGGTTCTGTGTGACTTTTGTATTACATTTTCCGCCTTGCATGGCTGGCTAAATCAGTAATCGCTTGGGAGGACAATAAACCAAAAACAAATCAACGATTGATTGTTTGCCTTGACGAATTTGGCTCAACCCCCAGATTGAGATCAAGATACAGTCTATGTTGTTTTATAAATAAGTCTTTAATCAAAAAATTTTTTGTTCCTGTTCGACTATGCTTCTACTATCCGATTATACAAGTTGATCATTCAGGCACTCTTAAAAATTCGAACATAGAACGGGTTTATATATTGTCCAACTATTAATCGTGCGATCGAGCAATAAAACTCCAAGTTTCTAAATTCAGATTATTCAATCCTGAAGTCAAGACTAAGAAGGCGAAAAGTCCCTTTCCAATAAACTAGAATATTATCATTGTCGCCGAAAAACATAGAGTTTGGCCAGTCAGCCAAATAAGACACGTTTTTTTGGAAATCGAAAGGCTGGAGGTACGTTCATGTAACAAATACTGGGGCCCTGTGCTGGAAAGAGACCGGTAGATAACATACATCTTGTGTGGTTAATGACATATTCCTCCCTATATTTCTGTGCAACCAGGACGGTATTATTACGGAATCGGCTCGCTGCCACGTTCACCTAATATCCAATTCGTACGATCTGTCAGATAATATATATAAACAGTTTAACATTTTGTTACGTTCGATTAATATTTCCTTTCTAATAAATAAGTAGTTTTTCATACTTTGAAATACACTATTGATGATCGCTTCCTGGTAATTATCAGTAGAGTGCGAAATTCCAATCACTCTATCGATTAAAAATATTTGATTACTATTCGTTTAAGTATAAATGGATTTTAGATATATACAACTAAACTCCAACCTATAACTTTCGAATTAATCCCACGGAAGAGGGTAGACGTATAACTTGAGAGAGCGACATAATAATTAGTGTTTACAATGGTTTAAAGTCACTGACTGTCATTCGTGTTTAACTAGAATTAGTAAAAGCCACATTTCCGTTTGAGATAGTTAAACCCTAAGGTCAACAATCGATTACTCTCCTTCGATTGTTGATTCAACACTTGACACGTCTGATTCAAGTTGGTTTTTTTTATTAAAGAGAAGCTAGATTATGCCTACGAATAAAAGCTTGTAACATAAATATTTTGAGAGGCTAATTTTTGTAATAACGTCGTTTAGAATTGTTATTTCAAGCCCATTAGAATGTCAGATAATTAATTAAACACAGTAACGATGACTGATGAGATCTTGCTATACAAAATTTTTGGCATTGCTTTATAATTATAATTTATTAATTAACGCCGATAACACTGCAATTTTAACTCAAACAGCCAGGAGAGTATTACATTTCGCTATCCATATATATATACTTGTTTATTTCACTCTCCCATAGTTTTTTCATATCACAGCATGTTATCAACTTGAGACCATCAACGTTTTGGACAATAAATAAACAAGTATGTAATCTAAGCAGTGATGCTGTCTTAACCGTCCAACATATTTGCATTATTATGATGATGCTTTGAGCATCTCATTAACCTTTTCTCTCATGCTCAATGCATGTTCGTCATCTGGTTCAATCTCCAATGACTTGTTGAAATCGGTCAACGCATTATCATATTCTCTGAGATTGAAATAGACATTACCCCGTATTCTCAATGTGCGTGCATTACGTGACTTTATCGCCAATGAGTGCGTCGACATCAACATCCATCGGGGGGGGGGGGGGGGCGCCCCACCCCTACTCTTTAATTAATGCATATTCATTACTTGGTTCAACCCCCAATAATTGCTGAGATTGTTCAATAAATTGTCGTATTGCTCAAGATGAAAATGGATGTCCTTGTTTGTTCAATCATACGAATTAAATTACAATGCTTTGTCGACATTGTATAACGCACGATCATTATAGACGTCTCCTCTCACAGACAATGCAAGTACATAGTTTCGTTCGACTTCAACGCTTTGTTAACATCATTCAGTGCATTGTCATACCGTTCAAGCATACCATAACGTAACCCTTACACTCCTTCCAACAAATCAGTGTATTGTCATGCCGATAAGCCTCTCCCTTCTACTCAATATCCATGCATTATTTGGCTCAATTTCCAAAGATTTATTAAAATCATTCAGCGCATCGTCATATTGTCCTAGACATCGATGAGTCTCTCCCCTTCTACTCAATGTCCATGCATTATTTGGCTCAATTTCCAATGATCTATTAAAATCATTCAACGCATTGTTATAGACAAGTTCCCTTCTACGCCACGCCTCCAACGATTTGTAATTAATCCGCGCTACAAAATCATTTCCCCGCCAAAGTGTACGATATTCGCTAGAATTGCCCAGATGTTTCAGACATCGATAAGCCTCTCCTCTTCTACTCAATGTCCATGCATCATTCGGTTCAATCTCCAATGATTTGCTAAAATCATTCAGCGCATCGTCATATTGTTCTAGATATCGATGAGTCTCTCCCCTTCTACTCAATGTCCATGCATTATTTGGTTCAATCTCCAATGATTTGCTAAAATCACTCAGAGCGTGGTGGTATTGTTTTAGACCTTTATAGACAGCTCCCCTTTCCCTCAACGCCCATGCATCATTTGGTTCGATGTC